TTTTGTTAAAAAATCGTACCTACGAAAAGAAGCACGGACGAAGAACAAGATGAAAAACACAATGATTTATGGCACGTAACAGAAAAAAAAACAGTATTAATCTTATCAGACTCCGCAAAAATTACATTGTGGCAAGGTCACACAACTTTTGATTAAGTCGGTGCGCGAATGGCGCGCTTAACTACGAATATAGTGCAATATTACAATACAATTGTCAAAAGTTATTTGTGTAGGTTTGATATGAGCATACGTCGATTATATTTGTCGGTGCGATGTCGAGGGGTTCGTTGTGAGATTTATGTAAGAATATACTTATTTATAGCAGTAGACAGCTACTATACGTATAAGGAGCTCTAGCTCCTTGTGAAAGAGTTCATCCAGGGTAGTACTGCCACCTTACCTATTCCTGCCGCCAAGCAGTAATGTCAGCATTACTGTGTTCCGGTTTTGAAGGGTAAGAGTGCTGGTGAAATTACAGGCACACGGGACTTGTCAACTAATATCTCAGAGTGACGGGCGCAGTGGTAGCGCCCCAAAGATCTTTGCATTTAAGGTTCTGAGTGGCACTGTAACTGTCACGGACAGGCGTGTAGTTTACCATACCGTCACTTGATGTGTTTGAAAATTAAAGTATTTGAAACTAGAGTTCAAAAACCGAAGATAATAGCCTACTATAGAAGATACCTCCATTCAGCAGTTGGTGATAAAAGGTTAAAAGAGAAGATGTCTCCTAGAGAAAAAAAAACATTCCATTTTTGATACCGACTATTTTTCAATACATATTATTAACATTAATCTTGTTGTCTAATCTAACAAAGAGGTAGCGAAAGTAGTGAATATTTGATGTCTCCTAATTGGTTTCTTAATTAGCACTTTTTATTCAAGCCAGCTTAATAGTACCAAGAATAAACAGGCACGTATGGAGTAGCGCACTCAATAAACCTGGAAGGGGCAGTTATTTATGTAAAGAAGATCTAGAACAACAGTTGTACGACCCTAACATTTCATATCACTGCCATTATCGTCAACGTTTTGTTGAAGGCGTTTGCAGAAATTAGTCTCCACTCTTCCTAGGTCTCCGTTGATTTGTTGACGGATAGATTCCTTTAATGCATCACAATATACGGTGTGTGTCCTCTTAGACAAGTGTCTTGAGGCATCCCCACAGAAAGAAGTCACAAGCGGACAAGTCAGGGAATCTAGGAAGTCATGCTATGTCACCAAATGTTTACTGGGAAAATTGAAGGCCAATTTGTGTAAACGCTTTTAACAATGAGTCGATGAGCCAGAAACTAAAATGATTAGTATGAAATGATGTCAACTCATCCGTAGAACAAAGACATATGTGCAAGACTGTTTATTCTCAGGACACTGTACATTTCTATCGTTGTTCTTCGCTGTGGATATCAGATGATAACGAAACGAAGTAACATAAAAATGTTTGATACCCTTTAGATAGGCCTTAGTCTGAATAACGAGGTTATGTATTTATCGTCTCTTCGCTATATAGTGACATCGGACTCTGTTCTTATCATGAGTCGATATGGTCTTACAAATGCTCTACTACCAATAAATCTTCCATTCAGAGTGTCTGAGAGAGAAGTTTCAAAAAATTTACATTCTTACACTAGCGTCACAGTATTTATGTTTTTTTTAATAATGATAAACATTACAAATTAATACGAGGAATGAAAATAAACCGACTGTTCTTGACAGTCGTCTTCACAAAGTCACAAATTCATTTAAGGGGCAAAGCTTCTATAATAAAATTCCGGTTGATGTTCAAAAGTTGCCATTTACGACGTTTAAAACTGTCCTGGAACGCACACCTTACATTAAAGGTTATTTATTTATTATACAACTTTTGTATACTTGGATGACTAATATCTTATTGTTTGTTATTATCATTTAAATAATCATTAACTTTATAAAATGAAACATTAAATCTTTAGAAATGAAAGGAGTTGTTACTGGGAGGAATTACGTTTCGTTCTCTGTTCTATTGTATTCTATGTGTGTAGAGCTCGAAGTACAACGACTAAGGAATGGTAGCATGAATTTAACCCTCTGGAACGGAATAGGCAATTGGCGTCAGTTTAATTAAAATATATAAGATTTCTGAACGTGACGCTCTTTGATGTTGCCAATTTGGCGAAACAGGGCGATTGAGAGTGTGAGATTTTAATAGCTTCAAAAACCAGACACTCTGGTTGATAATTAATTGTACGTTATTTACGTGACTATGTTTTTTCTTAATTTCAAATAAGCAAGTTTTCATTTACATAAATAGTAAAAGTAGAATTAGCAGCAGCTTTTTATAATATTTAAGATCTGTCAGTATGACTTAGACGCTTTAGCCTGTGCACGACGAAAAATTTTACTACTAAGTACTCTATTAAATAGTTCTGGAGTTTCAAAATAGCCACCGTAAAGATATAACGATTTCCCGCGAAAAAATTACATAAAATGAAGAAAAATTTCTTCAGTAATTTCTTCGTTAAAAGAGAAAATTGAGGTATTTTCAAAAACGGCTAACTTAAAGACAACGAAAGCTTCTGTATCAAACATATTATATGTATTTATGACATAAATAAACTAACTATTCTTCTTATCGGAAAAATTTAAACACATTTATCTCTTTTTATATCCTTTCATATCCTCTATTTATATTCATAATATTAACCTTAGAACAAAGTTCAAACTTATGGTACCACGTAACTAAGGTAAACGATTCTTTTATGGGGAACTGTATACGTTTTTACAATAAGATTCCGGAGCATAAATTAAGATTACCATTTCCTAAGTTTAAAACTTACATTAAAAGTATTTTAATTGAAAAGTCATATTACAAAATTGTAGACTACGTGTTAGATAAAAATGTGTGGAAAGACAACGTGAGTCTAGATTACACAAATACGATTCAAAATGTTTTCTATAGCATTTAAGTTTATTTAGCAATCCCTAGAGTTTCTTGCTCGTTCTTCTCAGGGAGGTCAGCGTAGTGAACGAGCAGTACCTTTAAAAAATGATGAAATAATGATGGAATGAATGATTATTTGACTTTGACTTTGACTCTCCGAATTTAGAATTCCCTAGACGTGCCTTTCTTTCTTCCAAAGACAGTTTATGTTTCAATTCTTCGTGTTGTCCTTTTTGAAAATGTTCTCGCGAAGTATTTTAATTGTGTTTTAAACTAAACATCCTAAAAGCTAAAAGTAAAGTATACAATGAAATCGCAAATCGTAAATTAGTTAATGTTTGCAGAGCAATTACGTAATTGTATAGTGATGACCAATCGCCAATTATATGTTACAAATCGGTCAGCAATCAACAGTAATAGTTGTAACTATCCCTTAGGTATAATGGTAATATCTGTGAATAAATTTATTATTATTTCAATTCATTTTCAAAACCTAGTACACCAATAATAGATAGATAAAGTGATGTGATAATTATATCATAATCAAACAAATATTCCATTTATCCTCATGTTCGTCACAAAATATTTCTATTGTTTGGAAAATTACCGCCGACACTGGTTCGTGACTTTGATTCATATATTCCGCGGCTACTTCCCGGTTTGAAAGCCTTCGTGACGTCACCTACTTCGGTTAATGTAATCTCAAATTATGTAATAAGTACTTACACTCCCCACTTGCTGCAAATGAAAAATGAGCCACTCAATTCTTGTCCCAAACCAAATGTACAAGTACTGGTGTCTAGGAATAATGTTGATTACCTCATGCCTTTGGTTCAAAGTGTACGTGAAAAAGTAAGTATTTACTGGGATGTATGGATTTGTCTAGTATTTATGAATACCCAGGAAAACATGCAATTTGAGTCATATATTTTCCTAAATAGGAATCATAACTCGGAAAATAGGTAATAAATGAATAAATTTATTTAAACCGAGTATAAATATGTGTATATAAAAGATAAAACATTTGAAATAAAAAAATATATCCAACAAAATTTGCAATATTGCCGAATACTAAAAGCAAATATGAATTTCTGTGGAAAGGTCCCATTTCTTAAGGAGTCAGGCGTCATTAATTAGGAGAGGCCATTAGAGGCGATTAAAAAAACTTAACTTGATAGATTTATTCGCTAAGATTGCTATTCATCTAATTTGCTAAAAATTATAGGAATATTTACTTTGTGGAATAGCACTTTTTCTTTTAGTAATTATTTAATGTGCTTTTATAGTCGATGATATGTAATTTTAACGTATATTTTTCAAAAAGGCTTAAAATAAAGATGTAAATTGAAACATTGTAATAGTAATTTAATTTTTCTAAACGTTGCTACTTTTTGAAGAACTAAAGAAGTACCCAATAAATTGATAAAGCTATCCGACAAGTTTCGGCAAAAACTTTTAGATTAGCTCGGCTGTAGTTAGGTCACGCCCAAAGGGCCCTTGGAGACCGGAGAGCCTTTTACGAGTTTAGCATTCCTCAAGAAAAACTGTACAGTTGTACACCTACTTTTCTTTTTTTTACTCCGCTTCAAACAAATTGGAAATAAACAACCCGCGAACTCAATATCAACCTCAAACAAAACTACGCCCCTAATGCGGCTTCTAAAAGTCTAAACGACAGGAGTAGGATCAAAATTTCGGCACAAGAAGCAATTTGGATTTCACCGATGCTTATCTAAATGGACATAAATATAAGTTCTTTACGGCTTCATAAACAAACAAGGCATCGTGGGTTCCCGCGACGCGGTTTTAAGGTCAGCCGGTGCCCGCGTACTGTAGGCCCCGGAGACCGCGGGCGCGGTCCGGATTACCCCATTAAAAAAGAAAGCCACTTCTAACTCCGCCGATACTCTGCTCGGCCGCACTATTTACTTCAGCGGCATAGCTCATACAAACACACATGGCTCTACGCCATGGCAATGATAAACACGGTGTGATCGATATCAAAAACGTTTGTTTTTCTCGCGTGTCAAAGGAGAAGAGGTTCGGAGAGTCGGCGGCCGCGAGGCGCGCGATCGCTTACGCAACGGGATGGCACGTGGTCGTGTCCACGCGGGCGGGGTGGCTCGTCAGGGAGGGAGCAAGTGCGGCGAGCGCGCGGGCATGTGCGGTCGGTGGCGGCGGGCGAGTCGCCGCTGGTCGGGCGCCCGCGGGAGCGTCGTGCGGCGGGCTGCGCGGCCGGAGCGCGACTGGGCTGCCGGCCCCCGGCCCCCGGCCCGCGCACGCGCGCCCAGCCTCATCCTCCCCCGATTGATGTAATATTTATCTTGGATTAACAACTAGATAAGAAGAGCCGAAATGTTCCCGAAGTCACCACTTCGTGGCTGCTCTTTTGCGCCATATCCGAAATCCCTGCATATCTGAAGTAAAGTCCTTATAAAAATCAACTTAAACAGATCTGAAGAATATCCGTAAGACGTTTAAAAAACTATCAAAAAACGATAGTGTGATTTGATTAGCACGAGGAGGCTCGGCAGATCAATCGGGTGGGCGCGGGGCGCGGCTGTGGCGCGGGCGGCGCGGCGGTGACGTCATGCCACGCACGCGCGCGACAGGTGGGCGCAATGCGCACCACCTATCATATGATTATGACGTTTCCTATTGGATTTGCCGCCGGGCCTTTGGAAATTGCCTGCGGTAAGTTTGGCCACGATCTCTGTCACTGCTTCTGCTGGTGTCATGAGTACGTGTAACGCATGAAATCTACATGCTATTCTATTGGTTGAGGCAAAGGTGCTTTTCCTGGAGTCATTACCATGTCTTAGTAAGTCAAAACAAACTTATTGGTGTGTTTTTTAAAGGCGGTCTAAAGTATGTCTAACCCGTCACACGTCATAGACACGCGGTGTCCAACGCGCAGCTATGTTTTCATGCTCCATGAAAAAAAATATGTATTTGGGTTTTTTTTTTTAACAAAATAGTCAGAGAAACAATATGTAATAGGACATATTACTCGCTAAACATATTTACAATGGTAGAGCCATGTGCGAAAAAAACATAAAACAGATCATCGCAGGATTAACGAATATTATAAAGCAGCACTTTGATAATAACCACCACAAGTGATAATAGATACTTCAGTTTTTTTTAAGTCTTGAGCAGCCGTTGATGTCCTTGACGGCGCCGCCGGACAAAAGGGTGAGAGGGCACTTAACCCGTATAATAAGCTAAGTAGCAGGCTTGAGAGCGCCCAGGTAGACTCAGATCTGGTCCCAGGACGACACTAAAGACTGTATATGTACAAAGCCACGATTGTATAGGAATAAGAAAAAACGTATTTCTGAATTTAGCAATTACCAAACAAACTTTTTTTTTATTTCGATTAATGGTGACTTCTACTATAGTTAAATGATGACCATTCTAACTTTACACATCTTTGTTATTAACATATTGCACCATAAACAATACAATGTCCAAATTCAAAAGTGACATTTTTTAGAAACTATGTAGAAAAAAGGGTGTAACCTAAATGAATCAAGAATAGCTTTTTCGTTAGGCACTAAGAATATTCTGTACGAAGCTGCCAAACTGTATAACAATTTTCCAAAGTATATCAAAGACCCTTTATTTAAAAAGAAACTAAAATTTCGCATTATAAATTTAATTCACCAACATGCAACATAGGCAATAATCACATTCTATCGAAACTCTGATACGTAATGTGAACTCTCCGTATGGTCTCCTTGTTGCACAAATAAAATAATTTATGACTACGTACATTTAAAAAAAAATACTCCTTATAGCTCGGAGAGTGCATGTATTTGTGGTGACTATGGCACACCTTCATCACATAATTTTAAGACTATGCAACAGCATTGTGTGAATGTGAATATGAATATGCTCTAATATGTTAATATGTTCATGTACGATTCCGATACTCGTTCATTTTTTGTTAAGTTTGTTTATCTAGTATTACTCATTGTAAGTCAATGTAATTCATTGATTAATTTATTTATTGCCATGTAGGCATCCTTAATAATTATATGTAGGTATGTCAAACATATGAAACCCAGACAAGATGTCTGTATTGTTTTGAAAAAATAAATCATATAAAAGAAAAATCTATATTGTTTTGTGTAAAATGTTTTAAGTATTTATAAGGTATAAGTACGAATGCAACCAATAATATTTTTATATGCGGATTTACACTATTTTAATCCTACTCTGTAGACACATCAATGAATACAACTCGAATATCCTCGACAATGATGGATGAACTAATCGTTAACATAATTAAACTTTGCGAGAACAAAACGCAGGGTATCAAATTGACGGCACAGGCTGAGAGTAAAAGTTGTGAAACAAAAACAAAAATTAATATCGCCCGGGGCTGTGTAGATTAGACTTGACGGACCCGCGTCATTGAGATGGGTCGTCTGTACTGGACCGCGGTACTACGTTTAACACAGTTTAACTCAACACAGGAATTATCATGACGTTTATTTTTTAGATAATTATCATGCCTAATTATACGATAATTATAATAATACTTGTCTAATAATTACCCAATGAAATAGGAATGATAATTCATTGTTTTGTCTCTTTAATTTTTTACTAAAAACTATAAAGGATGAGACAACTTAATAAATACGAAGAAAAATCTTGGAGAAAACGTCAAGAAAAAAAAATCAAGATAAATAATTATCACTGACATTTATTACTCCGAATCCACTCACACCTATTTTATATTTCATGCCAAAAG